GGTGTTTCTAAACCTTCTGAGGGGAGGTGAATCAGTGGAGCATTCATGCAGAAAATTCTTTTTCTCCTCAATGCACAAGCCATTGCCATGCAAAGGTATTCTTTGTGTGGGTGTGAAAACCCTCATCCCTACAGGCCAGGATTCCATCAGGCTAGGAGATCGTGCCTGTTTCTGGGAAGAAGTAGTACTGGGTAAATCTGGAGAACTGAGGAATTGGGTCGCGTCATTCACTAGGGGACTTTTGGTTTCAAGGACTCAAGTGTGTCTAATTTCCTAGAGCATCATTAGGCAGAGAAGGCCCGATCTAGCCAGACCACTGTGGTGACAGGACATGTGGGAGGGAAGCTTGGCACCCTCCTTCCATACCTGCTCAGCTGCCTCATGCATTGGAGGGCAACATTAATACTTGGGGGTTGGTAAGAAATGCTAAGGAAGCTTCTGGCAACACCCCAGCCTTGCACACCTCTGGTCCTCCTGGGAAATCCTCTCTGCAGGTTTTCTCACCTGGATCTCAGCACCTGGCAACTCTGATGGGCCCCTGTGTGTGCCAGCTGGGCAGGCAATGGATACTAAACTCCTCTGTTTGTGTCCTCAGACAGAGGTATCATCCCCTCGCCACAGAGAGCTGCCCCTTAGCCAGCACTCCCCAGAAAACGGGTTGCTGTGGCTCATGTGACAGCCCTGTTGACAGGCTGCAGTTCAGGGAACAGAGATTCTAGAAGTTGCTGAATATTTTCATGCCGGCAGCTGGATCCTTGTTCCTGTTTTCCACAGTAGATGTAGTATTACATCAGATCGCACCTACACAAAGACCTCTCTTGAGCTTCATGTGGTGCCTTTAGCCAGAGCTCTCATAGGCAGAGTGGCCAAGGGAGGCCTGCTCTGGGGGTTGTGCTGGGCACCTGCTCAACAACACAGACATGGGGAAGTCTTGCCCTGAGCCAGTCGGTTCTACGGTCATACCCCAGTTACAGCATATCAGCCAGAGCTCCCTCAGCTAGCTCTTGTCTCCTGACCTTTTCTTACCAGGAAGGGCCACTTTCCCTGGAACATGCTACTTGCTTTTCCAAGGGAGGCAGGGAGGCCTAGCAGGGGATGGCCTCAGGAAGTTTTTGTCCCAGGGAGGATCCTTGCCCAGTGCTGTCTCGCACCCAAATTGAAAACAGCTGCTGCCAGGTGTGTAAGAAACTCCCTGGAGATCAGAATGAGGAAGTGTGATCATTTGCCTTTGATTTAGAAAATGAAGGTCCAAATACAGATAGGCACTGAGAGGGCTATCTTCCTGCCAGTTTCTATCACTGAGAAGAGGGTACACTTCTTAAAAGGAGACAATCCTGGGGGGAGCGGGGACAGGAAGCATGTGGCCCACGCACTGGGAGGGAAGTCTTCTGGTCAATGTGGATTCATTTGATTGAGGGAGGGATTTTGGACTTGATTCCAAAACAGGCTACCAAATACCCTGGCTTACCCAGGACAGTCATGGTTTATACCTGTCCTCCAAGCTTAATTTTTAATGGGGCTCCCTTTCCCTCTCAAAAAAGCCCAGGTTTGGATGATACATTTGCGATCACCCTATTACAAAGCAGAGAGAGAGTTAAGGCTGGAAACTAATCCAGAGAGTGACAAATAGGATGTGGGGCTCCCAAAAGGTTAGTTTGGCTAACACCAAACTACAAGCAGTAGAGGGCCGGATTGATTCATTCTCAAGCATGTTTAGAACCGCAGGCTTGTCAGCAGTGTCCTGGCAAAGATTCACACAGTGGGGATGCTGGAAGGGTCTTCGGAGGAATCTAATTCGCTTCCCCTTTTACCAAAAGAGGACACTGGGCTAAAAGAGATAAACGTGACCTGCCCAGGTCACACCTGGTTCACAGCCCAGTGGAGATGGACTTGCCTCTGGTGGGGGTGGGGTGGGGTGTCAAGCCCAGGTGCTCTGTTCTGGGACAGAGGGGCAGGGAAGATCCTGAGAGGTGCTGCACAGGGTAACTGCCCCGCACCCGGAGTGGCTGCCCCGTGGCAGGGGAGCGACCTCTGCTGTCTTAGGTTCTGAGGCAGAGGAGGGAGGCCAGGGACAGGTGCAGCTCAGAACTGCTGAGCATGCTTGGCTGTGAGGCTGGCGCCCAGGTCTGGAGTCACAGTAGAGCGGTGGGTGGGGCTAAACAGGCTCTCCAGGGCAGTGATCACAAGGGATCCAAGGGATTAACTGGCCAGTAGAACTAAGAACGAGGGGAGAGACAGGTCAGTATGGAGATGAAAAGTCAGTGGGGTCAAATCAGCAATTTATAGATTCTAAGTCTTCTCAATGATTCAAATTGTAATGAAATCTCAGTGAAAGGCAGTCCCTAATGACAGCTGTCTCGCCTCTAAGGCAGTCAGTCCCTAAAGGCAGCCGTGGCACCCCTTTCCTAGCCCCTTAATAGGGCTGCATTGGGAGAAAATCACAAGTTGGTAACAGCCTTGACTTCCACTTGATAGATGGGAAAACTGAGTCACAGAGAAGCCAGCTCCCCCTGTCTGATGGTACCATCAGCAAATGGTGTGATTCACAAGCCAGCAGGGTGAGTCCACAAGCCAGCCACAACAGTGTGCTGGTGGTTTCATCACAGTCTTACCTCCCATGTGGCTCGGGTGAGGTGGAGGGGTGAGGGGGTAGATTTTTCTGTGATTCTACTCATCGGATGGAGGTCCCAGCAAGAAGCCCAGCCTGAGGGTCCAGAACCCTTGTTCTGGTCCCAGTTCCACGGCCTGCTAGTTAACTAGGAGTGCCATTACAGAGAGTCCCTACTCTGCCTCCCTCCCCTACTCTCCTTGCTGTCAGAGGCTCTGGCCTCTGTCATCTCCAAGGCCTCACACTGGTTGTCCCTCCATGGGTCTCTGGCTTTGGCTCCACCCGTACCTCACCCTGACCCAGCTAGACATTCAGCTCGGGCATCTTCTGTGTGGTCTGTATAAAGAGCACCCTCACAGATCTGAAGGAAATATTTGTTCTCAGGCCTCAATTATCTCTGACAAAACAGAGATGCTACAGTATGCATGCAAAATATCATTTTAGAAAACATCATATTTGCTTCAGATCTGCACTTTTTGCCTCCAACAAGTTTTCACCCAATGAAGCTGAGTTAAATATTAATGTTTGTTGCAGATAATCTGCAAAGTGAATAGCTCCCCAAGTAAACCTATCCTGGACTGCAGGCTGACTGTAGTCAAAATAATCTATTGTCACCCTGAGCAAGTTTTCCATATCGTCTAAAAAATCCTGCACACCAATGTCACACATACATGGGGCTCTGATGTGACATTAAACGACCCTAATCTCCTGTGGAAAAAAAGGCATGAAATAGTTTCAGTACATATGAACTAAGCACACATTTGGTTCAGTGACACTTTGTTGATGATGCCCATTCAGATATTTGCAAATATTGAGAACACACCCACAGACATTGTCCTGGGTTGCCAGCAGTGGGCAGAAACCACCAGGGAAGACATGAAATACTGAACGTCACTGGAGATCACACACATTCTAGGACATATCAGACTATCTTAACCTTCTTCTCCCACCCTCCTCCCAACCCACAACTGTTAGTTTTATAATGTCCCAGGGAAGCCAGCCTGGGGAAGTATGACAGTCAGCAGAATGGGGGAAACTGACAGAAGGAGGCTTCTGGCGGCATCTCATTCCACCCTCTCACTATAGACGGGGAGAACAAGAGAGGAGCAGGAAAGAGAAGGTTCTCTCTCTGCCACAGGAGCGAACACCAGACAGAACAGGAAGAAAGCACCAAAGGCTCTGTGTCCCTGACACCTTGACTAGTGACGGGGGGTAAAGAGGTGAGTGTCTGGGGCCCAAGAGCAGATCCAAGGTCATAGAAACACAGCTTGTACCTGGAAGGAAAGGGCCTTGGGGAATGGGTCTCAGGATGGGGGACTGATGGCTAAATGTGGAAAACCAAAATACTGAGAAAAGTGTCATTCAAAATTGGTGCATTATACTCAGGACCAGGTCTCCCAGATGAACCCAGTATTTTGTATCAGCACTTCATTATAAAATTAACGCCACTGAAAAAGACCCAAAATATCACATCTTAGGCAAATGAGTTGAAAATCCTTTTAGTGACACCCTATTTTTTCCACCCATCTCTAAAATCAGAGGACACCTGGTATGGTGTTAGGTAATGAAACGCAACTCCTGGAACACGCGGTTTCCCCAACGGTACAGAATTGAAGTGACATCATGGAAAATGTATATGCCTCAAGGTCACTCTAAGTATAGTTTCTAGGTGAAAACACGACTCTTAGTCATTGGTGGAAAAGTGTGTGTGTACTTTTGTGATTTGCTAGTATCTGCTCCTTACTCCCTCCAAAGACAAAGTTTTCATTAAATATCATGCAGGCTGCTGGCCAGTTTTCCCACACGTTTGGCTCCACGTAGATGCACAACCTAAATGTCAGTCTCACCACCCCTGTGCTCCTTTGTCATTCAGGTGGAAGTAAGACAGTTGTTACCAAAAGAAAAAAGAAGCTTGTCTTCTGCTCCAGGACAAGGAACTTATAACATAAGACGCCCATTCCAAAGGCTAATACCAACGGTCTCATGTGTGTAGCATTCCCTGTGGAGACAGAAGTGAGGACGTGGCAGACACAGAGTGTATGGGATCCTTTGTCTTAATTAAAAATTACAGTGCAAGTCATGGAATTTGGCCAAGCCTCATAAATCTGCTAAAAGAATCGAGACTCTGTCAGATAAGCTTAAATAGAACCAACTGGGGCCTCCCGAGAACTGAACAGATTCTGCGCCAGCAGTTGACACCCACTCCCCTGTCACTTTGCTGCACTCCACCGACAGTGGTTCTGCTCATTAACCGGCAGCCCTCCTACCTGCCGATGACAAGTTTATCCCCACGGAGCACAGAATTCAGAGATGATAAATTTACTCCTGCTTGTAAAAATGAAACTCTTCTCAGGACAATAAAAATACTGTGAGCCTTTAAGGAAATCAGGACTTTGTCTGATAACCTACCTTCAATTAGCAAAGCCTGGTCCTCTCGGCCAGGACAGCTCCTCACTGCCAGGGAGAACTGCTCTAAAGTCACTGTAAGGGAAGAAATAGAAAGGGTGAGTGGCTTCCCTTTAGACCCTGAGCACCTCTGGCATGGAGAAGGTCACTGAGGTTCTAGGAGATGCAGGCGCACGCATAGGTCTCCCCCGGTGACACCTAGAGCTCCCACTGCTCTCTGAGTGGGTGAGGGCACGTGATGTCTCCATCATCAGCAGGGATGGTCATGTCAGAGCACGCCACCATTGCCAGGAGGAAGTTCCATCCTAAACCACAGGGAGGTCCCAGGTCCAGCCACCAAAGACGAGCCAGGTTCCCAAAGACGGAACTCCATCCCTTGGTTCCTGGAATCTCCACCAGCCTTTGTCAATATGGCAGTGCTCAATTTTCTATCTCGGTCTTCCCTCATGATTTCAGTGGAGTTAAGTCTTCTCTTGGTGTGAACATATGTTCCCCAGTATTGACCTGAGCAAACCCTACAAACTCCCCAAAAGATTTCAAGTCATGTTGCACTAAACATCTCTCTCCAACAGAATGGTGAAGAGAAACTCAGGAAGGCTTGCAGGAAATACTTTAACAGACCATTTAAACTGGCCATGAAGCTCTAGGAATATCAATCTAGACAGTTTACACAAGTCACACTCCCTTTCTCTGTAACGGTGGCCCAGCTCTCATAATAGGCCAGGCCGTGAGCACCCCTTTTTATTTTGGTCTTAGTAAATACCTAACCACACATTGCCTTCCCTCTACACTGTTTTGTCTGTACTGTTTGATGCTCAGAAATGCTCCTGTGAATCCCTGCCACCCTCAGATTTAAATCCACTTCTTTTGACAGACCTTAAGGCTTTCACTTAGCCCACCTAGACACACCTCTTATTTGCAGACTCAAAGCTGCGTTCGCTCCTCACCTGTCATAACCCCTCACTGCCGTCTGCTGGGTGTCCCACCTTATGCCTTTGAGCAGAGCCAAGCTCACCCCTCCACTGAAGCCCTCCAGGCCTGCCCATCCAACCACTTAAAGCTACTGACCACCTCGGGGTCCATCCCAAACTCCACGGAGCCCACAAAGGCTACACCAAGTCACACCACTTGAGGGACATTCCAATTCCACTGTTCTGTCCTCAAGGATGTCTGGATGTCATGTTTACAAATGCAGATATTTTACGGGGAATTATATCAGCAATAATAAATTTTCATCACAAAACAATGTCTGAGTAAGTTCTTTGTAGTTTCCAGTGTTACCTATAAAAAACCTTTCTTCAGACAGTTCCCATCTATGACTGAATTACTCCGCACAGTCTTAACTGTCCTCAGTTGTATCTTATGTTGATTATTTCTTCTAAGTCTAAATTTTTGCTCTGTTCCGGTCAACATGAGTGCAAGATCAATAGAGGGATCAGCTTGCATATCACATCTAGCCAGTCATTCACTGGCTAAGGTCAATATTAATGACAAAGAACCTTATTTTTAAAAATTGTTTAAATTTAAAAGAGTTAAGAACTGAACTTTGCCCATGCCTGGGACTGACCAGAGCTCACAGCATGAGTCGAGAGCCCAAGCTATGCTGAGCTTCCAGGAGAGCTCCTGCCCTCACCTCAGCACACATCAGCTCCTGCAAGACCTCGGAAGCAACCGCCGCTCTCCTCCAACACTTGTATCAGCTGTGTGTTGGCCTTTTTGCTGGGACATAATTTGATGTGGCAAAATACTGAACTCTGACTATTATCGGAGGATGAGTAGAGAACAGTCTACAAATTCAGGTGCTAAGTTTCCTTTAGATAATCTTTTAGAAGGTGGCTATTTGATCTGGTAAATATTTATGCCGTAACTTAGAATCTTACTTAGCATAGGCTGTGATGGCTCCTCACTCTCACTGACCACGGCTGGTCCTCAGCCCCGGTGCCCTGTCCCCTCCCCATGTGCTCAAGTCCTGCCCGTCCAGTGGTCACCAGCCCAGGTGCAGGTCAGACAGGCCTGACTCGGGATCTTCACCACCACCCCCAGCCGCCTGCCCTGGACAAGCCATGTGCTGTCACTGAGCCTGTCTCTTCACCACCACCTGTGCAGACAAGGGCTGGCTTCCCAGAGTTGGTGACAATGAGTGGCACAGAGAGGCAGGCACCACAGAGCAGGGCCCGGCACAGTGCCCACCCTGTCCCACACCCTGAAGAAATTTCTAGGCATGATTCCCTCCCTGTTTGATGCCTTGGGGTGACACTTCACACACTGGGCTTTTCTTTATAAGCCACTCTTTGGATTTGAGGTGCATACGTCTCCTTGTCCCAGTACTGAGACAGCTATTCCCATCCTGCCCAACGCACCCAACTCACCACCCGTTTGGTGGAACTGGACTGATGCACATTTGTGGGGTTGCAGGGCCCTGCAAGTGGAGTCTCCCCTTCACTGGCAGCTGAGGTCTGTGGCGGAGCACCTCCCCCTCCTACACAGATGGAGGACCCCCTGGACAACCAGAGGCCAAGCTCCAGAAGCAGAGCACCGTCTGGTTTCTCCGTTGTTTCCCCTCACCTTCAATGTCCACGTGCTGCGCTCTGATGCTGCCAGAGCCCTACGGCTCAGCTCACTGCACTAGGATTCCCAAGTTGCGAAGGAGAAAGGAGAGGCACAAACATTACCCAGTGCGCCACTCCCAGGCCACATGCCACTCTGCCCAGTTCACTAAGTCCCTCCCAGTGAGTCCCTCCTCTCTCCCCAACTTTTAAATAAGAAACCCCAAAAACCACACTCAGAATAAAAGCATTTGAGGCATCTGCTTCCCTCTGCCTGTGCTGCTGATTCAAGGGACTGACTGCCTAAGACGGTTTGTAGAAGGACAAACACCAACAAAGCACAGGGCCCCCCGGGACTTGGTTTTCCTTAGGAGACTCTGCATGGAATCAGTTCCTTGATTCCACATGGGTTGTTCTGACTGCCTTGGTGTCCTAGGGCTGCTCATTCCAGTGGGGGATGCAAAGGCTTCCCCTGTCTGCGTGTAGTCGAGTTCTCCTTGGCTCAACCTTTCCACCTGCTGTGACGAAAAGATCGGTCGTTCAGACAACACAGGGAGAACAACAGATTTTTTAGAGAATGAGCAGCTTTGAAGTGAGCAGGGAGGTGAGGGGAAGTGTAGGAAAAAGGACCCAGTGGAAGCTAGAAAGTGGTAGCTTGGGAGAAAAAAGTTACCAGCGAGCATGAAATGCATCTGTCTCCCCTTCAGAAGGTGCTGCAGTGGGTTGGTGTGGACATGAGGAACAACGGCCTCGCCCCTGCAGCCACTTCTGGAAGGCAGACAGGACTTTGTAAGATGGGAGATACCCGAAACTCATGGACGTGCTTGTGCCTAGAACTGCTTTCATTATGACAGGGCCATGCAAATAAGGGGAGAAGTAAAGACAGGCCAGTTGTGCCATTGTGTCATACTCTCCTGCTCTCTGAAATAAGAGGCCAAGCTCCAGAAGCAGAGCACCGTCTGGTTTCTCCGTTGTTTCCCCTCACCTTCAATGTCCACGTGCTGCGCTCTGATGCTGCCAGAGCCCTACGGCTCAGCTCACTGCACTAGGATTCCCAAGTTGCGAAGGAGAAAGGAGAGGCACAAACATTACCCAGTGCGCCACTCCCAGGCCACATGCCACTCTGCCCAGTTCACTAAGTCCCTCCCAGTGAGTCCCTCCTCTCTCCCCAACTTTTAAATAAGAAACCCCAAAAACCACACTCAGAATAAAAGCATTTGAGGCATCTGCTTCCCTCTGCCTGTGCTGCTGATTCAAGGGACTGACTGCCTAAGACGGTTTGTAGAAGGACAAACACCAACAAAGCACAGGGCCCCCCGGGACTTGGTTTTCCTTAGGAGACTCTGCATGGAATCAGTTCCTTGATTCCACATGGGTTGTTCTGACTGCCTTGGTGTCCTAGGGCTGCTCATTCCAGTGGGGGATGCAAAGGCTTCCCCTGTCTGCGTGTAGTCGAGTTCTCCTTGGCTCAACCTTTCCACCTGCTGTGACGAAAAGATCGGTCGTTCAGACAACACAGGGAGAACAACAGATTTTTTAGAGAATGAGCAGCTTTGAAGTGAGCAGGGAGGTGAGGGGAAGTGTAGGAAAAAGGACCCAGTGGAAGCTAGAAAGTGGTAGCTTGGGAGAAAAAAGTTACCAGCGAGCATGAAATGCATCTGTCTCCCCTTCAGAAGGTGCTGCAGTGGGTTGGTGTGGACATGAGGAACAACGGCCTCGCCCCTGCAGCCACTTCTGGAAGGCAGACAGGACTTTGCAAGATGGGAGATACCCGAAACTCATGGACGTGCTTGTGCCTAGAACTGCTTTCATTATGACAGGGCCATGCAAATAAGGGGAGAAGTAAAGACAGGCCAGTTGTGCCATTGTGTCATACTCTCCTGCTCTCTGAAATACGCCCGGTAAGGTTGGAAACTGTCACCAAGCAAACAGGCATTAGCGATGGTGGTATGTAACCCAGGGGGTGCTCAGGAATCCTGTCTCAGAATGTTCTTTCAGCTTCTCTCTCAATCCCCATGACATTATCCCTGGGCAATAGGGGTCCTGCTCTAGGAGCCAAGCTTTCAAAAGCCCTGCTCTACTTTCCTGCAGCTGCAGCTTCCCCATGGGGCAGAGGGGACTGTCCATCAGCAGCTTGCACCCAACTTCTCCAGGGGCCCAGGATCCTGGGTTTCCCAGCTCAAACAGCTCCAGCCTCTCCCCTGGGAATGGGCTCCTCCTGGTGCATGCATCCCTAGACCCACGGGGTGGCCAAAGTGCAGCTGTTGGCAAGTATGTGGACAGACCCTGGGTGTCTAGAACAGGTGAACCCACCCCGTGTGGGATGGAGCTGCAGGGGAGACAGTGGGGAGCAGCTGGCAAAAGCATCTCCTTGCACTACACAAATCACACAACTGCCGGGGTCTGAGACTTCTAAATTCCAACCTGGCTTTCTGGATGAATGCAGCTACATTTGCCCAGGCTAAAGGATAGAGTATGTTTTCTTCAGCACTTTGTAATTTTTTTTTGTATACTTGCCCTGGACCCCAC